GAGAAGGGGTGACGGCATTAGGAGAAAGCTTGACGTCAGCAGGAAGAGCTGCTTTGGGGCCGGGTGAGGAGTGTACTGTGAGACATGGAGTTTCAGACCCCAGCTGGATGCGTTATTTTGGACTTCAGGGGTGGGAAAGGGGCAGGTAGTGGGTTGCTGTGGTTATGGTTGTCAGGGAAGGCATCCTGGGAAAGGTGATGTAACAGAACCCCTAAGGGTGGGGGGATATGTCTTGATGAAGAGGGACCCAAAGTACCGCGGACTTCAGGAAACTGAAGACTTGTTTGGGAGGATAGGGTGGGTGGGAGTGGAAGGGACACTGGGAAAGGATATTGCTGAACTGGAGTGGAGGTGGGAGATGAGACAGACCAAGGGGCTCAGGTGTGCCTCCAGCTTAGCGTTTGATATCCTGCCTGCACTGGCGGGAGCTGGGGAGGGAGCACAGGGTTAGGGCAGCTGCACTGCCAGCTCTGAGTTGGAGACCTGAGTCTTGTCCTAGACCAGCCTTGTTCAACTGTCCCCCTGTTTCCACGTCAGTTCACTTAGTCCAGTGCCCCATCTGCAGCCTTTGCTTCTGATTCTCCTTCAGTCTTGACTCCCTCATCTTGGTCAGACTAAAGTCAGTTGTTTGCCTTTCATTTCTGCCTGGGCAAGGGCAGCGGAGGTCACGTGGCAGCCAAAATCATACTGCATCTGGGGTTTAATTTTATACTTAAATTTAGTTTCTTTTTTTCTTTTTAAAATAAAAATCCTCCTTTCTTTGGATGGGGACGTGTTAGTGAGGTTAGTTCTTTTATTTCCAAACCTTAGATTTTGTATTGCTATTTCAATTTATAAACAGAAATAGGAAACTGTTTTCATTCAAGAAAGGCTAGACCTTTAAAAATTCTAAATATGGGGATTTCTCTGGTAGTCCAGTGGTTAAGACTCCAAACTTCCACTGCAGGGGGTGCAGGGTCCATCCCTGGTTGGGGAAGTTCCACATGCCATGCAGTGTGGCAAAAAAAAAAAAAAAAAATCTAAATATGGAACTATTATAAAACATAATTGAGTGAAATGAAACTTATCACCATTCTCCACTTATATTAAAAATCAATTTTATGTTATACAAAAAGGTTTACAAACCGCTCCTTGGTAAAATTGAAAAAAAGTTATATTCTTAGCCTTGCCGACTCATGATGAATTTCACATTTGGTGTAATCCTTCCAAGGTGAAAGTTGGCCAGGAAAAGGTGTCAGACCACTCAAAGTGGATCAGTTCCATGTGGTAGTGTGACTTTTAAGATTATTTATTTTTGTTTTTGCTTTTGTTTTGTTTTCTGGGATTGGAATATAGAGCATAAGACGATAATAATACTTAGTTCACATTTACTAAGTGATCTCGTGTGCCAGCACTGCTCTAAGTACCCTATATGTGTTACCTCATTTTATCACCACAGCTGCCCTATTGGGTGGATGCTGTTATTATCCTCACTTTACCAATGAGGAACAAAGAAATTAGATAACTGGCTGGGAGATGGCATGGCCAGGGTTCAAATCCAAGCATTTGGCCCTGGAATCCCTGCCCATGACCACTCTGCCCTCCTGCCCATCTCCTGTGTTGGGAGCAGGAGAAACACCATGGGATCATTTCATTAGGATGGAGTTTGAGCCTGGCTAGTTGGGATCTATACAGTAGACTGTTGTTTTACTCATACTTGTGGTTGAAGATGAGAATTGAATGATCTTAGTTAAGTTTTCCTTTTATTATTAATTATAATTTAAAATATTTCCATTTGAATTCCAGCAATATTTTTCATTTCTTCATTGAGTGAATATTTATCAAGTGCCCACTATATGCCTGGGTTGTTATACACAGTGGGGATACAGAAGTGAACATGACAAATAAGATCCCTTTCCTCTCTTTACATTCTAAAGAGAAAGACAGACAGTAAATATATAAGTTGCCATCAAGAACACTGAATGTAATCTCTGACGAGATGGCATCTGTTGAGACAGACATCAGTGAGGGAGTGAACTTCAGGAAGATCTGAGGAGAGTGTTCCAAGCAGAACGAACAGTTGGAGCAGATGCCGGAAGTGGGAGGAGCAGGTGCCGGAAGTGGGAGGAGCAGATACCGGAAGTGGGAGGAGCAGTGGGGAGGGAGTGAAAGAGTGAGGGGGTCCTGTCCAAGACAAAGGAGGAGACGTGGACAGGGCTGTCAGGCAGGCTTTGTGGGCCGCTGTCCAGGTGGGATAGGGAGCAGGTGGGTTTAGAGCCAGGGGCCAACATAACCTTCACAGTGGCTGCTGTGACTTAAGAATAATCTTAGAGTAATCTCGAAGAAAGTGTTGCCCCCTCGGAAAAGTTTCTAACTCAGACTGGCCTAATTTATATTGCAAAGTTAGTTTTCAGGTATATTCAACACCTTTTCTGTATTCTCTCTCCCAAGTTAGTCATTCGGAGGCGAAAATGATAGTGCGAGCCCCCTACAGGCAGAACAGAGCATTGCCTCTTATGATGCCCTGGGGGCCACGCCCTCAAAGTAGTTAGGGAAACATCGATGCTGAGGAATGGAACTTCAGTTATCTCTCATTTTAAATAGAGGGGACAGGTGTGAAATGGCACCATGAAACATTTTCCCTGATATATAATAGTATAGGTTCTTCCAGCTTTGGTTATTATAAATAGTTCTTTTGAATTTCATTTATATATTTAGCCACACACAAGCATTCTTTTAAAATGCATATTGTATCTATTTGACATATTCCCAGAGTAATTTAAATGAAGAGGAAAGCTTAAAATATCAGAAACTAGATATTTTTCTTATAATTTAAACGTTTTATTTTCATATGATATATCATTAGAGATGACAAATAATTCATATATACATTGTATCTATATTTTTTTCCCCAGTGAAGTTCCAGAAATGATTCTTATTATATTGAAACGCAGACCACCTGGAAACTGAAAATTCAACTAGTGTTCTTAAGATATATGGTGATAAAATTGTGTCACATGTAAAGAAATGCAGCAGTCTCTTCAAGCTGTATGTTTAAATGGGTATCGGTTTAGGGGTACACTCCACATTTATTCAGAAAGTTTGGAGAATTGGAATATTCTAGTTAGAGTTGATTTTTTTGGTTAATGAAGGTTATTGCCCAAAGGATCTTTGCATTTACAGTTTATAAAGGGCTAGAAATTATATCATTGACTAGCTGTCTTCAGACTGTGTGTATGAGTCTGTTTGAGAGGTTGGTGGCCTCTGTGCTCTTCACACCAGGTCCAATCCCTGTTATTCCTGTGTGTGAGGCCTCCGGGTACGCTTTGGTTGGAAGATAAGATTTCTAATGCACACTGCCTACCACATAAAAACAACTATAGGAAATAATTCAGTTTTTCTAGATTTAGTCAGAAGGTACTTCCAAGATTGAGATTAAAAATCCCCCTTAAAAAAAAAAAAAAACAACTCCATTTTTTGGTTTGCTTTTTACAGATTACTGAATAAAATTTGTTAGTTAAGCATTTGATTATTTGCAATCCAAATGAACAGAGGTGAACCAAGAGCCCTGTCTAGACAGGGTATTTATTTCAGTATAAGTTGACAATGCAGTTTCTTATCAATCAGGTCTTCACGGTTTATAAGAGCTATGCTACCATAACTCCTCAGAACAGTATAATGAACTCTAATAACCGAAAGCTTTTATGGCCGATGATTTCATTAGACTTGTCTAGACAGCAGTTAGTCTCTAAAATCATTGTGTGTCGGGGCTGGAAGGGATCTAACACAGACACTGTAGCTTAGATGGTCTAAATATTCTGTTTGCCATGTAGCCATGGTTTTGGGGTTTTGAGGGATGGTGAGGCCAGTGATTCAGCCTGCGTAGTGGGAAACCGATAGGCATAAATATGCCGAGGGCCTAACTTTGGTTTTGGATGCACGTATAAGTATATAAAAGTATTATTCTCTGGAAACAGCAGTAAATTTGAAAGGAATTTGATGTCTGGTCATGTTTGTCAAAATGGGAGAGACTCCCTAGAGGTCATATCTAGAGAAAGTAATTGCAGTCAGATTTGTAACCTTTTGGATTGACTCTCCTTGGCAAAGTAACGCTAGCTTAAAAAAATGCTAGTGTTTTAATTTTTTCTAATGAAATCCACGTGCTATCGAATAGTTAATTGTCAGTGGGATTTGGATTGGATGTGCATGGTTCCCCAAACTTCAGCCATTTTAGTCAACAAAATAATTAGTAACATAGAAAAACTGATTGACTAACAAGCTTTTAAACTGGTTGTTCTGCTCTCCTGGTTATTGATATAAAACTGCCAGATGTGACAATGCAGAGCCAGAACTCTGTAATCCCACTGCTTTACTGGCCTATAAGCGGCAAAGACCAGAATGTACCTGCTAGTCCAGAGGAGTACTGATTGACTTAGATTTGGTCTGAGCACCTGGGGTAAAAATAGCCTTGTCTCTGAGAAAGTGTCTTGAGAGGCCCTTATATGATTTGGGTTTCTTTAGCGGGGGTGGGTGGGTACACGGGCCTCTCACTGTTGTGGCCTCTCCCGTTGCGGAGCACAGGCTCCAGACGCGCAGGCTCAGCGGCCGTGGCTCACAGGCCCAGCCGCTCCGTGGCATGTGGGATCTTCCCGGACCGGGGCACGATCCCGTGTCCCCTGCATCGGCAGACGGACTCTCAACCACTGCGCCACCAGGGAAGCCCCGATTTGGGTATTTTAAGCAATTGGATGGGTTAGATAGTTGCTATGTAAGTGCCTTGAGGGCAAATATTGCATGAGCGTCTCGTTAACTTTGTGAATGTGAGAAAGTGACTTATATCTATAAGATTTCTTCAGAGAAAGAACACTAATGATTTCCTGATGATTTTGACGTATGAGGAATAAACATAAAGCGCTTTTGTGTTTGGTGAAAAGTTTTTATGCGAAGCATCCTTTGCTCCGATCCTTATGACAATGAAAGAATCACTGTTGCCTCTCCCTCGGACTGTCACCTCTCTGTAGGAAGCCGCCCTCTGTAGACAGCTCCCCATGGAAGCCGAGACTCTAGCCACGGTTCAGGCTGCTGTCAACCCACCCGCCATGACTCCAGACATGAGATCCATCACTAATAATAGCTCGGATCCTTTCCTCAATGGGTAAGTCAACATTTTAGGGCCACTTATTTTTGCTTTCTTTATTATGTGGTTTACAGTATAACAGATCTTTGTTTATGTTGGGAAAAGCTGGGGAGCTTGGAGGATGGGGTTAAGATAGAGGGAGGATGTGGAGGGAGATGGCAGGAAAAAAAAAGTGGAGGAAGAAGTCATCTGCCTTTTTTTTAAAAATCTCAAATTCAAAAATTGGTGCTATGGCATGGAGTAAACCCCTAGTCAATAATTTGAAAATGGGGATGAACTTAACGATTTCAATGGGATGGTGTTGTATAGTAATTATTTAGAAGAATCTTGTGGTTTTATGTAGCCAACAGGGGATAAAAAGCATGTCATATGGCAAATAAGGGAGCAACACAATTAAGAGGTGATGTTTGTGGCGCAATGTGAATAAGGTCTATAGTTTAGTTAATAGTATTATACATTGTCAATTCCTGGTGTTGAGCACTGTACTATGGTTGTGTACCATGTCCTTGGGGAAGCTGGGTACAGGATGCACAGGAACTCTGTACTCTTTTTACATCTTCTGTGTGATTCTAAAATTATTTCACAATTTAAAATTTTAATTAAAACAAAAAGGTGTTGTTTTAAAATATGAAATATATGAGCAGAAGGAAAAGGAGATTGAACCAGAAATATCTTCATGAGTAGAAGTAGTCAACCTTAATTGTAGCCTTTTAAACCCAAATAAAAGGCAGTTTTCTATTCCCTGTGTCTTTTCTGCCCTTGCAGAGTCTTCTGGCAAACAAGCAAATACAGTTATGAAAGTTATTAAAAATAGAGAGAGAGATGAAAACAAACAGTAAGGGAAATAATGAAAGAAAGGCATTTTTAAATGATTGATTTAAAACTACTTCAAACGTACAGAAGAGTATAAAGAATAACTTAAGATTTACCCATGTACCCAACTCCCACATTTTGCATATTTCCATAGATCTTATTTTTTTTAAATAAGTATTACAATTAATACTTAAACCCTTCCCCACCACCACTGAAATCCATTTCTTTCCCATCTTCCCTCCCTAGTGGTAGCCATTATTTGGAAATTGATGTGTATCCATCACACCCATTTTTTTTTCTTTTTTCATCACACATTTTTATATTTCTTATTGCCTGTTAATGTCTGTATCCAGAAACAATATTCAACTTCGTTTTCAGTTTTGAAAAAGTGTACATAAATGGTATCATTCTCTGTATGTAGAATGGTGTTCAAATTGTTATTTTGAGATGAAAAGGGAATCAGTGTCAATTTAGTATGAATGGCCAGGTTTTTTTTGCTTACAATTTATTAATTTCACTGACACAGGGATATATGTTTCAAAATTAAAAGGAAATGCAAAGTCCACCTGCCTTTGTTATCTGAAGATCGGGCAGATTGACAGAACTACACTAGTTGAGGATCTTCATGACTGTATTTTAATTTTGAAATTTCTTTCCGTCTTTTGCTCTGCAGGGGGCCATATCATTCGAGGGAGCAGAGCACCGACAGCGGCCTGGGGCTAGGGTGCTACAGTGTCCCGACGACTCCGGAGGACTTCCTCAGCAACGTGGATGAGATGGATACAGGTAGGAGCCAAGCCTGCGAGGCCTTGCAGTAGGTTTGCACTTTTAAATCGTCTCTTTAGTCATCTCAATTCGTGTTTTTTTTTTTTTTTTTTTTTTTTGGCTACACCGCTCAGCATGCGGGATCTTAGTTCCCTGACCAGGGATGCAGCCTGTGCCCCCTGCATTGGAAGAGCGGAGTCTTAACCACTGGACCGCCAAAAGGAAGTTCCCTAGTCCTCTCAATTCTAAAATCCAATGAGAGACACTTAACCTCAGCAACAACGTAAACTAACAGCTGAAAAGCCACTGGAACCCAGGCACTATTAATAAACTCTAGCCCCTTCCCCATAGTTTATACAAATATAGTTGTTTTTTTTTTAAATTCCAGGAGTAGCCTTTTATTTTATTTTATTTATTTTTTTAACATCTTTATTGGAGCAAATATAGTTTTATATATGGGCACAGGATTTTAGTTTCTGCTTTTTTCTTGTCTCTCCCTCCCTCCCTCCCTTCCTTCCTTTTGCTTATCCTTGCTTCATATAGCCCTTTCCTCACAATTGCATTAACATACCACTGTCTGCTTTGCCATTCTTCCACAATGGAATATTTATGCTTTTTTCTAGCTTTTGGTTGTAATGTACAGGCCACCAGTATGCAAATTTTTTCATGTGATTAACTGCATTTGGGAAGTAATTGGCAGTGGGCATTTGGAAAGTTAAGCAACTCAGAGGATTCTAAAATGTCAGCTCCAAATCCTAACATGGTAACAGTGAGTGTCCTCCCTCAGCAGTTAAATTTAACATAGTTCCTGGCCTGCCCTGCTTTCAGGCTAGACCTCAGCTGGCTTCCTGGTTACCTCCTTTTCACCATTTCTCTAGGAGCGATGCCTCCAAATTTGGTCTAGACTTAATTATCAAAGTCCTAAACTCCCAGAAGATATTCTGAAGCCAAAATTAAATGACAGCTGACAACAAGGACCTACTGTATAGCAGAGGGAACTATATTCAATATCTTGAAGTAACCTATAATAGAAAAAAAATCTGAAAAAGAATATCTATATAAATATCTATATCTATATAAATATCTGTATCTATACCTATATCCACATCTACAGATGTACAACTGAATCACTTTGCTGCACACCTGAAACCAACACAACATTGTAAATCAACTATACTTCAATTAAAAAAGAACACCCTGAAAATGGACTTAAAAAAATTAAATAATAGTTGATGTATCCCCTCTTTGAAGCTGTTCATGCAAGTTTCTCCTCCATCCTCACTGTTGAAAGAAAATCGTTCTGTGATGAAATGATTGCTTTCCCCAGTGCCGTTGTCCAGAGCGCCCGTGTTTGTTACCCTCTGCTCTTCGATGACTGCACTTCGTGCTCTAAAACTAAACGATTGGTCAGACAAAAGTCAAACTCGGCCAGAAGGTTGGAGCAGCTGTTCCGGGCTCTCCGTGCAGCCCGTCATCTACTTGTTGAGAGAATTGCACAGACTGTCTTGTGAGGAGTCACACAGGAATAGTTTGAACTGTTTGTTTTGTTATTCTTCAATTTATTACTTCAGCCTTCTCCCTCCCTTCCTGCTTCCCTCCCTCCCTCTCTTCATCCCTGTCTTTATTTTTCGGTGTGAGGTTTATCTTGCCCTCTTCAGACCTGCCTGATGAAGTGGCTCCTTCCTGTGTTTAATAATTGTTTGCTTTCATCTTTTAAACACTGGGAAGCCAGTAAAGATAAAAAGCAAAGTTAAATAAGAAATGACTCAGGAGATCTAAATCCAAGCTTGACATTTAAAAATAAAAGAAGATGGATTCTATTCTATGGCTTTTTAAAATGACATTGAGTGGAGAAGTAGGGAATGTTTTTGAAGCCAAAATGTAGAATTAAGTGGTGTCCTGAAAAGAGCATAGTCATTGCAGTCAGGCAACCTGACTTGGATCTTTGCTTCTCTACTTCTTAGTAATGGCTTTGGGTAAGTGACATAACCTCCCAGGGGCCTCAGATTTCTCACCTATAAAGTAGGAGTAATGTGCTCATCTTGTAGAGTTGTGAGGGCTCATGAGGTCACAGAGCTTGGCACAAAGTTGTCTTCTCCTCTTCTCCTCCTTCTAAGAAGGATGAAGTAATGTACAAGTTGGTCTTGTTAAATGTTAGGGTTCCAGGTTAACCTGGTGTAGTGAGTGTCAGCCTGTTGGGTTTAGGGTCACATCTGTGAAGCCTTTATAGGGAGTGGGCATAAACCCCCTCAAGGGGAGAAATGTAATTACTTTTTCAGGAACAAGATGAGGAAAAGCTGAGCTCAAGTGTGGCTGGCAAAGATCTAGTAGATGCACTGATCACATGCTGACCACATGCTGAATGGGAACAAGCCAGCTGAACACTCCCTTTGCAAAATACACATGGAAACAACAGCTGGACATGGTGTGAGGATAGAGTAGAGGGAATAACAGGAGCAAAGGCTGGAAGTCACCCACCCTCCAGAATATTCTGCAATAATCACACCCTTTTAAGAATTGCTTGGGTTTTTTTTTGTCTGTCCCACTTTTCACTCATTCATTCATTCATTTTTATTATCTATGCAGATATGCATCCTTTATATTTTAATTGAGGTATAGTTTCCGTATAATATCATATAAGTTACAGGTGTACCATGCAGTGATTCACAATTTTTAAAGGTTTTACTCCATTTATAGTTATTGTAAAATATTGGCTATATTCCCCATGTTGTACGCTATGCCCCACTTTTCAAATGGATAAAACTGCAAAGACCCAAAAAATTACTACGAGGTTGCAGAGTTGCTCCAAAGAGAGAGATTTTAAGATTGTTAACCTTATCGAAGAACCTTAACTAGTCTCCTCATGCTTTCCATGCCCGAGGAGAAAGGATAAGAGGAATTCTTTAAAACAGAGAGATTTTATTTGGTTAAAAAATGAATTCTTGACTTATTAAAAAGTTAAAATGGGACATCAGTAGAGATGAATAATTCTAACTGGAGATGAAGAAAAAAAGGCATCCAGCACTTTAGATCGGCTGATTTTTCAGGGCAGGTAGTTTTTTTAAGCCTCATTTCCATTTGTTACACTCTAGTGGGTAGAAAAAAGTTATTTTGGATTTTCTTTTCTAAACTAATGTTTTTCAAGTCAGTAACACAACAGCATTGAGGTCATGTTGAACTCGATTTAACTTTTAAAAATACTGCCTTTTGCAATGAAAATCCTATAAAATAGTCCTAAGAGTCATTGATATTTTATGAGTTATAGAAAAGTCATCAAGTTTTACTATCACCAAAATGCAAGTTTGAGTATTTTTCCCTCATCACTCAGAAAAATGTAATTTTTCTCCTTGGAAAATGCATGTGGTTAAAATGAGTTTTCTCCTGTTTTGCTCAGAATAGTGGAATTCCTAAGCAGGCTTTTCAGGAAGGCTACCGTACTTGTAGGGCACAAAAGCTAATTTAATACGTTTCTTAAAAGCGATTCCATGGTGAAAGCTGGCCATAGTTTTCAATGCAGTGTGAGGTGTGACTGTGAGGTGTATTTCATCCCTTCAGAAAATTGGTTGGGGTTCTTGGAATAAGCCAGTTGCTCTGATATTATATCATTAACTGTGATTGAGTTCCCAGGTTTTTCTTCCTCTCAGCACAATCAACAAGCAATGCGTTTTTGTATTTTCCTAAGTGTGTATGTATGAAAGAAGCCCAGAGCCATAGATGTGTGGTAGATATTATATGGCACCTAACTCCAATTTGTGAAGGTGCTATAATCCCAATTTCAGACAGGTGAAGTGTGTCTAAATAAGGTTACACAGCTAAAAAGCTCTGTCTCCTGGCACAATTGTCCGTACGTTTTCTCCTATACTATCATTCATGAAGAGCATGTATTCCACATGTTATATCCCGGACACTTAACTTTCCTCTGGAACAGCATTCTCTCAACTAGGTTCTATAGACTCTAGTTCTATTAGGATATAAATTCGGCCAAAATTGCATTCGATGATAAAATGGCTTTAGGTCATAGTGGCTTAAGCAAAATATATCAGACTTCCTTATTACAAGACTTCTCAGAACCTTAGTAAGCTCCCATGCACTGTGACTCATATGCATTGTGAGAAGCGTAGATACTTGCGGGATGTATGTGTGTGTGGAGTGAGGGGGGTGAATGCAACACCCACTCTCTAAAATACTTTGAAAATGACCCCTAGAGTCATCAATGAAGGTAGCTTTTTAACAACGTCGTTAAAAGAAACTCCTCACTACTCTCTTTGAACATAAAGAGGGATGATATGGGCAAATTTGAGCTTACAGTTAAATCATTGGATTATAGCTCTGTGATAAGGTTTTTATGACAGGCAGGGCCTCTCTACTCAAACCAGCTCTTCATGCCTTTGTCATGGGAAGTCACTGATTGTAGGTCAGATCCACAGCACCCTCATTTGCTCCTTTCCTGTTTCCCTGGATTTACCCATTCTGGACAGTGTCTACCCAGAACAATGAAAGGTTCACCTGGCATCTCTGCATCTCTTAGGAGTGAGCATCTCCAATTCAGTTTCAGTAATGTGGAAGCTGAACTTTTGCACAGAGATGAAATATTTTAGACCTGCAGCAATAAAATCTTCTGGTGGAATGTAGACACAGTGGAAATGAAGATGAGAGTTATGTTGACACTTGAATCTGTCCCTCTTTCAAGAGCTCTAAAAAAGAATTAAAATGGTTTCATTTCATTCTGTTATAGGAGAAAATGCAGGCCAGGCACCCATGAACGTCAACCCTCAGCAGACCCGGTTCCCTGATTTTCTTGACTGTCTTCCGGGAACAAATGTTGATCTAGGAACTTTGGAATCTGAAGATCTGATCCCCCTCTTCAATGATGTAGAATCTGCTCTGAACAAAAGCGAGCCTTTTCTAACCTGGCTGTAATCAGTACCACTGTAGCTTGGATGCAGCCGTGACCTGACATTTCCTGGGCCTCTTGGAAAAAGCGATGGAGCAGAGCAAGTCTGCAGGTGTGCCGCTTACTGCCTCCGTGACGCATGCTCCCTCCTTTCCTTGTGGCCAGTTTAATCATTGCCTGAAGTTGATTGACAGTAACGTAAGTTAAACATAAATAAACATTCTATTTTCATTTTCTGCAAGCCTGCCTTCCTGTGATGGGTTATGCAGAATTGTTTCAGCAGAATTGATTATGCAGAATTGCTTCTCTGCTGCCCCATGACTAAGCTTTATGGGTGTTAGCTGAAATTTATACATCAATTGATTATAAACCATGAAAAGCTGACCACAGGCAGTGACTTCTGACAGGCGGCTCGGTCCAGGAAATGTACACAAAATTCAACCTGATTTACAGTTTCAAAAACTGTATTGATGACATTAGTACCAAATGCTTTAAAAAATATTTAACTTGAGCTTTAAAAATCATTGTACAGATAGTAAAATTCTGCTGTTTGGAATACAATGTAGTCTGGGATCCATGCTGGTCCTGTTGGTTCTTATTACCCTGTATTCACAAAGGCACACACAGTCCTATTGTAGTTTATCCTTTAGCATTTTACTGCACAGCATCTAGCCAGCTAGTCCTTCCAGCAGGAGAGTAACAGCAGCGTTAGTCACAGCTCCTACACTAAGATCTTATGAAAGAGACCAGTTTGGTACTAATTATGAACATCTATTAAACAAAGTTTTTAAAATTACAAGTTGGATTTTTTTTTAAACTGCAGCTTAGAACTCAAATGTTTATTTTATGAAGCACTATCATTTTGTAGCTGATGACAAAGGGCAGTCAAACGTTTTTGATAAATCAGTGACAATTGTATCTCTGTCTTTTGAAACCGTTCTGAAAACATCAGGACCACATAGCTTTCAACCTGATGGCACACACAGTAAGCTGTTGCTTTTAAAATTCCAAAGCCTTGTTGGTTTTGCTTCTTTCAAGATTTCAAGGGTTTAAAATAATCTTATCTATGAAACTGTTTGAAGGATGAAGCAGATCTCTGACTGACATGTAAAAAAATGCCCCCTGAGGGTGTATGGTGGAGACATGTTTCTGAAGTCACTAATGTTGATTCCTAAGTATATTATCCTAACCTTGTTTGCTACAGTTGGTATAAAAAGGCATGAAATATGTACTCAATACCTCTTATGTAACCAAAACCGTTTTTTATTAGCTTTTAAGGACTGAGAGAGAGCATTGGGTTTGCCTGGCATGTACCCTGCCTGCATTGCCAATGAAGTCCTCAACTGTTTACTATTTTGAACGGACATTATTTATAATCTATGAATTTAATATCTTTTTTTGAGAGACATTAATAATGCAGGTCTCTGAGAGGAACCTTTCCATTCCCAAGGGGCTTATTTGCTGGGGATCTGAGATCCTTTTCGATCTACCAAAAGATAGATGGCAGAATACATCTTATCTTGTTGGAAAGAAAGCAAGTGTAAAGGTCAGAGATGAAGTAGTAAAGTTAGGGAATATAGTGGAAAGGCTGTTAGGTGTGAAATGGAAATAGACAAGCTATAGTACCCCAAAAGCAAGACGAGCAGGAGGTATGAGGTGCCCCCAAAGAGCAAAGCAACAATTTTCTCCTACAGTCTTTGTACCAAAAGACTGTTGTAGAAGAAAAGAAGGCTTCGGTGCACTTTATGTGGGAGAAGGAGGGGCAGGGCTGGTGTTGTCCTGTCTACGCTGATGTTAAGTGTGTAGGCGGACAAGACCATAAACCTACCATTGCTTCCAACACAATGAAGTGACTTTTTTCCCCTGAAGGACCCATGGTTTCTGTTCCTCTGATTCCTTCTCTCTCTCTCGAAGCGCTCTGAGAGAGATGGGGGTAGATGTTTCTTTTGCTACTAAATTGGAGGGAGCACTATTTCTTTTCCTCTTGTGTTAGCAATAATTGCAAAAAGCATTGTACATTCTTTCTAAGAAAAAGCAAAAAAAAAAAAAAAGACTCAAAAACAAGGGACCTAGTAAAACTGAGCAGTGTTACTGTATTTTTAAAACGTATTTTTATAGACTCATTTTCAGGTTATTAAACATAAAAGAAACAGATACCCCTCTCTTTTTAAAGCAGTTAAAACATCGACGATTTGTATTATCAATTTTTAGATGTAATTTCCTAGTAAGCTTGTGGCATTAGAAAATACTAGAAGAATTTTTTTAGTGAAATTAGTTGGAACATTTATTAATGAACATAACAACTATTTTTCCAGAATTAAATATGGACCCTGACTACGTGTTTACTAATAAATGAAGCCAGATATAATTTTTGTTGTTATTTTTAAGGCTATAAAATATGGCCTTTGTTAAAGAACACTAAAGCTAGAAATCTAAAGTAAGAACAACTCTTTAAAGGCTCTTTCCTATTATTGTAAGTGTTAAAACCCCTGCAGAATTCATGATAAGGTGCTATTTATACTATATTTCTTATTATAAAAGAACTGCCACAATATCTCATCTTTTTAGTCCTAAATCAATCAATTTCAACATTTCATCCAATAATTTTGCCGGAGAAAAGGCAGATTAAAAATTGAAATTGAAAAATAATTTCAGAGATCTTTCAAGGTTTTTATTCCCCCTGATAAAAGACATTTTCTTGAAGTAAATACATTGTCAAAACTTATTTGCAATTCTATGAAATCTTAGTAATTGTTAGCGTTTCACCATAGAATTTAGGATGTGAAATGCCATTTCTTTTCACTGATTATACAATATACATGAAAACAGAGTAAAACATTTAGCTTGCTGGGATGCTGCTGACTCCAGCTTGGGAGAAAAGCTCTCTGTAGAAGAAGGTGATCTGGAGTGAGTTCTGTTAGTGACAAGTTGTGTTCTCATGACATAATTGGAAAGTAACTTCCGAAAGTGCCACTTTTATGAAAAATAAAAGCTGTTAAAAGGAAATTGTAGATTAATTTAATTGGGAAAATGGGTGATTGACAGAGACCGTTTCCCTAACACACTACATCATTTATGTGTTAGTATTTTAACTTTTAAAAAACTTATTTCTACATTTTGTAATATGACATATGTGTGTTTATTTTTAATTTAGATTGCTATACATACAGAAAGTATGCAGAAAAATCAGTCAGCTCAAACCATTTTAACTGGAGTTTGGTACTGGTTTTTACTTCTCTGATTCTGTATAAGAAAAATAAATACAGTTGAATTTCCACTTGGGGCCTTTATCTCGTCATTATTTGTGTGTGTTCCTTTTGCTGAGGGCTTTGGGTGGTACTGAAGAAAGGCTTATGTAACCCTCCTGGCAGACAATGAAAGAAATAAAATTCTGTAGGCAAACATATTTTTGGCCCAAATGCCTGGTCTTAAATATTCTAAGTATCCACAGAATTCTGGTTTCTACTTTATTTGAAGTAACTCATTGAGACTTTATTTGAAGTAACTCAATGAGACTTTAAAAACTATATATGTATATGTATATATATATATTTTTTTTTCTAAATCACACAGTCCTTCCAACACCCTCACAGATTTGACTGAGACATCAGAACTATAGGATTCTTAGGCATTCCTCTGTTATTAACAACAAGCTGTGGCTTCTCGTCGAAACTAAAAAACAGCTCATCATTCATTCTGAGTGTAGGCTTGTGACAGTATATTTTCTCTGTCTGTTGAGTCCCTTGATCCTTGCCGTGGTGATACCTTATGAGGTGAGGGCACTCCTAATAGCAGAGTGTTTTTAAGCAGAAGCATTCAGCTAAACAACAGAAAGAAGAGATCCTGGTGGACACAACTTAGCCACAGTCCAGAGTCTAAGTCTCAAGCATCGTTTTAAAAGCTGTATTTCATCATCATTTTTTTTTAAATTTACTTTTGGCTGCATTGGGTCTTCGTTGCTGTGCGTGGGCTTTCTCAAGTTGCGGCCAGCGGGGGCTACTCTTCGTTGTGGTGTGCCGGCTTCTCATTGCAGTGGCTTCTCTTGTTGTGGAGCACGGGCTCTAGGCACGCAGGCTTCAGTAGTTGTGGCTCCTGGGTCTAGAGCGCAGGCTCAGTAGTTGTTGCTCTGCGGCATGTGGGATCTTCCTGGACCAGGGATCGAACCCGTGTCCCCCGCATTGGCAGGCAGATTCTTTTTTTTTTTTTGCTTTCAAAATATAATCTAATTAAATATTGAACAATACAACGTTAAAAAAGACAATGTATTATGGAAAGAGAATCACACAAAGCATTCATTTTGTATATGTCCTTAACACTGTTGATAGTATTTCTAGCCCAGAGTCACTGAGTTTCAAATATATGTCCTGCTTCCAATACATTTCAGTCAATTCTGAGTTTTCTTTTTCTTTTTTTTTTAACCTCTTTATTGGAGTATAATTGCTTTACAATGGTGTGTTAGTTTCTCCTTTATAGGCAGGCAGATTCTTAACCACTGCACCACCAGGGAAGTCCCTCATCATCACTTTTAAGGTACCGGGGGCTCATACCCGGTACCAACAAGTATAACGTAAAAAGTGAAAGTTCTCTATCTTTCAAATCTCACGGGAGATCAATGGATTTGTGTCGTGCACACAAAGACAGGCTCTTTTCTTATAGCATTTTCGAGAGTTGAATACTTAGACAGGAAGATGAGAAACTGATACTTTAATATGACTCTAATCCCCATAAATAGCACCATTTCAACAAGCATGTTCGTTTCTGCTCAACCAAAGGGCCTGATATTTCCACTATTAAGATTACGGACTGTTCCCAGAAAAAGGGCCCCTCAAGTATCTTACCTGGGTAATGATGATGTGCCTAGTTCGGCTATAAATGGAGAAAATTATGGGATTAGCAGACATTAAACACCCGCACTCTAGGAGAATCCATTTATGGAACTATCATAGAGTGAAGTAAGAGCTTCAGAGAATGAGAACAAGGGAAAGATTCATGGGGAAAAGTGAGCCCAGCACATTCCATGCAGCACTGAAGGTCCTGGAGAAGGGTGGGTGTGGGAGCTGAGGAAGGGCAGGTGTGGGCAGTCTCCTTTACAAATTGGCCCTGGGCTTCACTTCCTACAACCAGTTAAGGAGGTCAGTACCATGTCGCTATGAATTAACATCTTGGCCTTAGCCAAGTTTCTAGGGTTGTGCAACTTCAGTTTCTTTACATGTAAATTGGCTATTACAGTTTTAAAAAGGGGGTTACAAAGAGAGAGCGGTGAAGATCAAGAGAAGTGACTTATGTAGAATACTTAGTAATTCAAAAATGGTCTATAAGTGTTCATTTCCTTCTTTTACTGGTGAGCTTTTCCAACTCTCTTCTTCCCAGGCCACATTTTTCTCAACAGCATTTACCGCCATCTAACAGTAAGATGTCACTGTCTCCCCCCATTAGCCTGTCAGTGCTGTGAGAGCAGAGATTTTTTTTTTCTTTAGCATGTAGCATCTTGAACCATACCTGGTACACTGTTCAAAAATATTTTCAGAACATCTGTTGGATGAATGAATATGTTTGTGAGAATTTGTCTTTCACACT